TTTATTGCTATTTAACTATATTTTATTATACAAGATTTTTTTGTTTTATATGGAGATTCTTTGTTTTATATTTTATGTACAGTATGCACCATGACATCAAGTCAAATTCCTCGTATGTGTGAACCTACAGGGCAATAAACCTGTTTCTGATTCTGATTCTGAAGACTGAAAAGAGGCGATAGGAGAGGAAGTAAATGGGGTGGACGGACGGATAGATGGAGTGTTGTGGCGGGGGGGGGGGGGGGATCACTCTCAGAGTCCACCTGTCTGCAGAGATAAACACAGGGAGGGCCCAACAGCACGGACTGGGGCTTAATGGAGGCCCTGACTGACAGTGCTGACATTTGGAAAGAGCACGGTAAACAAGGTCTCACACTGAATAAATAGCAGTGGGAACAGGGGGACTAATACACACACACACTTAAGTACTGTACACATTAATGCATCACATCGATGTATGAATGCATGCCTACGAGCATGTAAACACACACAAAAAAAGCACATGCACGCACTCACACAGAGACACCTTGAGATACCTTCAGACGGGTCCAATCAGATAGTGTTAGGCAGCAGACAAAGAGGATGGCAATAAGGGCTTGCTTTTAATAGAACCGGACTATACACACACGCACACGCACACGCACACGCACACGCACACGCACACACACACACACACACACACACACACACACACACACACACACACACACACACACACACACACACACACACACACACACACACACAGAGCCACAGGCAGACAGGGAAATTAAACACGCCTACTGATTAATCCAGGACAGAGTGGATCGTCAGCGTTGTTCCTTGGCCTTTTGTCTCTGATTAAATGGAGAAGCATAAAGAGTGAGGTGCTTTGAGCTGCCTACCTCCAGGCTGAATGCACCTCCAGAACATTCTGTTCTCACCCATTAGTGACAAAGGCACAGTGACGAGAGGTTTACAAGCACCTTGCTCAGAAATGTCAGACAAATCAGAGACAGAATGTTTTTTTATATGTTTTGTTCTTTTATAATAATTAGACAGTAATGCATATAAGTGGCTCAAAGTATGACGCCTCAAAGGTTTCAATACAAAAAGAAAATATAAAATGAGATATCCTCGATTTTAGAAAGGTCTTTATTGTTCTCATACTGCCTGTGCTGCAGCACCTCTTTTCACCCTCTGTCTGAAACCAGACAGAGGGTAGTACATTTCTGATCTGATTGGTTAGCTGGCCGGCTCTGTTTTGATTGGTCAACTTCTTATCGATGTACCAACTCTAAGCCTATCACGTACAATGTGTTGAAGCGCTATCCAATAGAAGCGCAACTGTGAGTGATGTTAAAGAAATAATCAAATAATTTAAGCCTTTGCATTTACATGCATGAAAAACGATATAACACTACAGGTATGGGAAAACCCCCAAAAGCAAAAATAGGGCAAGTGACATTAGTTTCACTTAATATTCTAAATACTAAGATTTTATCAGATTATTTTGTCACTGTAAAATGAAATAAAATCACATAAGTTAATTAAGAATGAATGTAAGACAAAATAAATAGAACTAGATTCTACAAAAACACACTTGATACTATAATTATATAAGACTAATTACATACTTGGAAATGGATTAAAAGAAAGTGCTTAAATGCATGTTGAAAATGGGCTTTAGGCAAACAAATCTAAAGAAAAATGCACACTCTCCCAAGCATACAGGAACAAAAATGTTCCCATAAAAGCCTTGCTGTATGAAAAAATAATTCTCTCAATTCCCAATGGACCAAATGCATTGGTACACAGTGTTCATGTGAAACAGAATGTGTGAGGTTACAAGTATTATTACTTCTATCTGGCAAAACACGAGCAGTAACATAACATGTCCCTTAGCAGGAGCTCATAATGCTTCAGGAGATCCTTCCACACGCTCCTCCGTGTGTGAGAACGGGCTGTGCTAGAGCAACTAGGTCACCCAAATATTCAAGGAGAAGATGTTTCCTTCAGGGCAGTATTCAGCGGGGTGAAACATTCACTGTGTTGGTTTTTAAGATACCATCAGACTCCACCATGCTGATTACTACAGCGTGGACTGCTGCATATGCTAAACAACTTGTGTTCTTTTTTATTTTTAAATGCTGCATACAGTTTTTTCTGAAACAAGACAGTGGGTCACCTTGGAAGGACATTGTAAGAAAGACATTTGACTCAAGTCCTTGGAGGATACAAGCCCTAAAGCTCTCACCCTCACTGATCACACCAAGGAAATCTTCTCTTGTACCTGAAACCTATTTAAATGAGAACATTTTTTTTGCTGGAACATTTGTGGCATGTGTCAAAGATACTCATCAATGTCGGTAAAAGAAACGTGGCTATAGAGCAGTGGACCTTGAGACATTTGAACCCATGGCATCTATCTAACCACAAGCCAGCGAGCGATACACCGTTAAACACAGGAAGACGTCCCCAGGAGTAGAGCCAAAATGGCAGCTAAGCTAACACATCTAGCACCCAAGGCTATTCCACTATACCCAGCCTGCTCCTGGCCGATGTTGCAGGAAAATAACATACATGAAATTAGACTCAGGCTAACCCAGCAACGGGAGATCAGAGCATGCTGCGGTGTGGCCAGATATTTTCAGACACCATGCTCCTTAGAGGCATCCAGCATCATGCTACTGACGGGAGAACTGCAGGACAGAAAGCAGGACTCCAGAAGGACAGGAAGGGCATGCTCTATGTCTACGTTAATGATGCTTGGTGCTCAAAGTTGATAGACAATATTTCCCTGATGTCCGATTTGGTATATTATGGATCTCCCAAGAGGATACACCATTGTTTTCTTGCTGCTTTTACATACCTTCTGATGCAAATTAAAAAAATGAATCACAGGAATGCACTACTGTTTTGTTATGACCTGTTTTTCTTGTGTCGTATAAAAGACTAAGTTATAACTGCCTCTTGTTGTGCTACCCTGTGTTGCATGATGTCATAATCCTTGAATCTTTGAATACTTAAATGAAACTTGAGGCCAACAGTCTTGTTTACGCATATTTTACATCTGGTTAATTTGCATTCAGAGGTGTCATCAGCAAAATGGCTCCAAGTGAAGAAACAATCTGTTTGGTCCTTTTTTTAAACAGTCTTTGAAACGTCTTGCATCAGCAGAGCTCGCTATCTCCCAAAGCAAAACAAATGCAAATACTGTGCAAATATGTTTGAACCCATGTGTGGGTCAAGCACACACACAGAGACATACACACCAATGCACACAAACACACAGAAATAAATGTGTGTGCATACACAAAGACAGACCACAGGGAACGGACAATTTGCGGATGCGTGGTGACATTCTCTTTCTCTGTGAGGCGTACGAGGAAATCAATAGTTATTGAAGATGCATTTTCTGGCTGTAAGAGAAGAACGCTCGGACAATAGGCTTCATCCTGCAAGAGGCGCAGCCGAGGCTCCAGGCAGAACATGGTAAATGTCAGGTTAGGGGCCCGTGGGAGGAGGGATTCAGTATCTACATCATGTACAGCTGAGCACCTGCAGCATGCAAGGTGCAGAGATTTCTCCCTTCTGATATTAATGCAAGGTAAGAGCAAAGTGAAAATACATTTTCTAAATGTCACAAGATGGAAGCCAAGATAAAAATGGACCGTTACACATGCTGTAATTCCTTTAACCTTCAGCCACTCAATCATGGAAGGCTGACTGAGCTGACTGAGCAATGCTGCTGTTTCTTAGTAACACAAGCAATGTGTTCTTACCTACCTGGAATTGTATCTAGCCATGCAGATCGTTTTGTTTTTATTTGCTCGAGCTTCAAGATAACAGCTTTGATATATTCCCTCATACAATGGTGGTGAAATACATGTCATTTGTGGTGCTCGTTACATTGAATGATTTAAAAAAAAAATTCAATTCAACAGCCATATGATGTCAAAAACAATTAGGATATGTGTCGAATTTTACTGTTAGCAGTTTCCATTGGAATGACTATTCCTCTATAATAGTTATGCACCTTGTGAAAAAGTTGTGCTCAGTCGGGCATTGTTTCTGGAAACATTAGCTTATACATCTTTATAAAAAATGATTTTCAGTCAACAACAAACCATATGGCATTCACCTCCATTGTGTGGGTTGAAGGCGTAGTCCTTGAGGTGGATACCTCAAAGCCTGGGCAAGAATAGCATCAACCACGAACCCTTACAATATTTATTTGAAGCAACAGCATCGACCTCTCCATCCAGAATCTGCAGTATAGATGTATTATGTATAGGTGCAGCACCACACTACATGTATACATAATGTATGTATTTTAATGTTTAAAGAGACACGGAGCTCTGTGTCGATCCATGACCTACCCTGTCTCTGCTGGTTCACAGCTATCGGTGATAATACTGACGTTATCTTCTCATCTCCTCCTGCTGGTCCCTCTGGAAAGCTCAGAAAGTCGACCTCAGTGTCTCTAATTTCAGACCCTTAATGAGATTTTTAATTGGTGACCTTTTGAGAATGGTTTCACACCAAAGCTCATGAGAGCCCTCGAGGGGAAGCCAACACGTAGCACTCACGCCAGGATCCTGCTTAACAATCTCTGAAGGGTCCAATATTTACTTTTGCCTATGGTTTGACCAACACACTTGTAGATACAATTAAATATGTTATATCATTGGAAGGAGCTCCACAAGAATGTATAGTCCAAGAAGTTTCTGCCATGTGTACAGTAGTAAGTTTCTGTGAAACACAACACTCTGCAACATGACCACAGCTTAAACTCCCTCTGCTGCTCTTGATCAAACTTTGATCTTTGCTTCGTATGACAAGTGACAAAGAACAAAATCTCTCAAACTAGAAAGCCACACTGCCTGTTGGAGAGTCGGTGTGGAAGACCGAAATATTTTGTTCGTAGGAGGCACTGAGTGTCTCTTTTTGTACCAGCAAACAAAAGCAGAGACTCAAAGCACAGTGGACTCAAAACACTAAAAAAATGTAGGCCTTACCGTGGTGAGATATCGCAGCCCTGCTGCATGAAGGCCCCCAGTGAGAACCAAAGGGAGTTGAAAATGCCAAACTCATTGGTCTGCTCTAGACTCTGCTGGTTGTTGTTCTGTTGCTGGGGGGCCTGGCCCTGCTGCACCCCGTTGGCTGAAGCTTGGGTGGGCGACTGCGGCTCAGCGCCCTCCTCGTAGTCCTCAGCGTGCCACTCGTACGGGCTGAACCGACTGACAAGGAACAGGACCACGCTCACGCCGATGTAGGCAAACACAATGCACATCCAGATCTCGTAAGCCAGCGGGTCCAGGAAGGAAAACACGCCAGGTTTGGATTTGGTGGGTTTCTTGATCATGATGGAGATGCCAAGGGACATGAAGGGCTTAGAGAAGTCGATCACTTCTTCACGCACCAGGGTGATGGTCAGAGGGGCCACAGCCACATCTGCTTTCTGAGGGAGTCGAAAAGAGACAGGCATGTGACCAGACGCACACAGTGGCAAGAATATGTCTTTTCATGTTCTAAAATATGTGTTTGTTAATGGGAAAAGCACAAGAGTTTCTTTATCAGAAGACCCACGTCAAATACTGTACAGTAGTATATCCACGATGATAAATGTTTAAGCATCTCTACAAACTATGCTCTAAAAATGTCACCAATGTCATTTAATCAGGGGGTATCATCTATATTGTGTGTTTGTGCACTGTTTTGCCAATGTCAAAGACCTGCCACAATGTCCTTTTTTAATATTGTTTTCCTCTCTCCTCTGTCAAGTCTACTAACCAAATTCAAACCTGATCTTCAGTATCAGATATCTGTTATTTTTAACTCTTAACTTTTTTAGTTGTTGTTTCATATTTAAGGAAAAACAACACAAACATAACGTTATTTTCATATTAAATGCTGGGGCGTAGTCACAGTCTGGGATATGTGAAAGATTACCAACAACATATATTTAAAAGCTTTTTTTTGTGTGAAAGTAAACCTTCAAATAGCACGTAATATGGAAGATAACAACATGGCTTAATCTGGTATAAAAAAGTTCAATTTTTATAAATTTTTTTATTAAACGTTTGATCTAATAGAAAGCATGAGTTCATGCTGTAATGGCTGTAGTAGTAGTAGTAGTGGCTTTTTTTTTTAACTGTGGTTTTACCGGTTTTAAATGGAAACATTTTGGTCCTTAAGGGAGTGTCTGGTGGCCTTCATAGATAATTGTTAACTTTTCATAAGAGTTCAAACGTTCCTAACCTCATACCCTTGCCAGAATGTACGACAAATGCATTAACACAGCCAAATTGACAGGAAAATGGAAAATGTCCCGAGTGAGGCACAAGGTTTAAAACGATCAAGGCAGACTGCTCAAATAAAGTTAGAATTGAGCTGCACGTTAATTGATTGGCTAAACAGCATTCACATTTGACTTTTAGTAGTTTATATATTTTTTTCACCTTTAAACCGTGAATAATATCCAACACAAAACAGTCCACTCACCCCATACACCAGTTCTCCCACCATGCCGTTCCACATCTTATTCTCTGGGTCTCTGGCTCCATATTTTCCATCTGAAACCACCTTCAGTTTGTACTGGTAGCCGACATGTTTGGCTATCTCTGCAGCCAGCTCCACAATGTAGCCCTCATATTTGTCATTCCCCACAAGCTGCTCATGGTTCTTCTTCATCATCACATACGGAGACTCCTGTTGGATGAAAGGGCAACCATGCAATCATTAAATGTAACTCAATTACACCAGGTGTCAGAAATAACATACATGAAATCAATGAACGGTTACTGAAATAATTGCAATTTTCGCTGATGTTAAAACAAAATGAACACTGATATGCATCATTTCTTGACATAAGCCTGTATCATAACTTACAGCAGGGCAGTTTGTTAAGCTAATTAAAACAGAGACAGTTTTATGGCTGATAATAAAGCTTCAGCATGTAGTTAAGTTTTATATGAATATTTAAAAATGCGGGAAGGTTTATGGATGAATTCAATGCATCACTTATCTCTTACCCCTTACTCATAATGGAGGCTTTGGATAATAAATCTCTCTGTGAAAGGTTCAAAGATAATTACATGGAATCACAAGGTATTATGTGTGTCTTTGTTCATAAAGGTATGGTGTATAATTGAAATACAAAAGGTGGTAAGTATGATTACGGCGTCATTGCCTCATTGAAAGGAGGGTTGATAATATGAAGCAGGTTGTGAGGATACGGGGGAATTGTACGGTGTTATTAAAGCTGAAAAGACAAAGCATCTGAGAACAAGAAGTGTGTGTGTGTGTGTGTGTGTTTGAGCAATGTATATGGTGAAGAAGACATTTTTTTGGCCCTCTGCTCCAGGGCCAGGCTGTTCTTCCTGTCACATCCTTCATCTGTACATCTCACACTGATTGGGTGTCTTCCTGCTGACATAACACCTGGGGCCCCGCTTTATTTGAAGAAAGATCTATTTCATATAGAATACCTGTCAACTCAATCTACAAGCACTCTGATAGGCCTCAATTCCAACAAGTTGTTATGTGTGCCTGCTCTTAACTAAGGCTGTGCTGAGCCGAGCAAATCCTGCCGTCAGATTTTATCAGGGTCTAGAGATGTGGGGGTGGGTCGGGGGTTCCTCTGTGTGTTACAGTTATCTGGGTTCTCCTGCTCTTTATGGTTGAGGGGAAGGTAATCATTGTTACACATGGAAACCTGAGGCCCATTGGCAGGGAAACGGCACCCCAGGGAGACGGTGGTGGGAAAGGCTGGTGTGCAGCGCTTTTGACAGGGTATGCACTTGCACTGGCAGCCACAGACTAAGTCAGATACACATACACACGTATGCACGCTCTCAAAAACACGCGCTTGAACACACACACATAGATGCCTGACATGGCATAGAAGGTCCTCCAGGACTCATTCTCATTGGTCCGCACAGAACCGCTGAGATCTGCTGTTACTCGACCATGGTGGATATAAAACAGACACAAGAACACCTTTCAGACACACATTACAAAATCTAAATATACACAAAATTATAAAACAATCAGACCACTGCCAAAGCAAATGGTGCATTCACCTACACCTCGGATGGTCCAATTTCCCGAGTTGGAAGGTTGTTATTTCGTTTTTAGGAGCTTTAAATGGTAATGCGGCAACAACTTTGATGTTACAAATTCATTAAGTATTATTGTATTGGTTAGAGAGGCTTACCAAATGTTGGATGTCTGTTTAAAGTTGTTTTTCTGACATGGGGATGTCCAGGTGAATATTCATATTCAGGATAACCTTTTCCAATTATTTCGTCACCACATAAACGCAGCACAAATCCTGTTTCTAAATAATAACGAAAGTGAAACATGATACACATATCTGTCCCGTTGTTTGGATACACATCAACATGTAATGGGTCCTTCACTGGCCCATGCAACACCATGCCGCCAAGATTCATGAATATCGTGCTTGTAGTTTTTCCGTGATCATGCTGATAGCCAAACAGACCAACAAATTATGATTTTTTGCCGTTGGAAAAATGTAAAATGTAAACCTATATCATTCCTCTGAGACCCATTTTAAACACAACATACAGTACGAGAACGCAAAAATTACGTAATGTGCTTATAAATGCTACTACTCCTTGCTGAAAGCATTTTACAATACCTGCACTTATTTGTAGTATCTGCACACGGCGAGTATGCCAATAATAACCAACTACTTGCATGCTAACACTAAATCTTGAAATTCCAGCCATGGCCTGGTTTTAGTGTAAAGCCATGATGGTGGAGACACTAAGCTCCAGTGCTCCATTAAACATGCTCTGCTTCACTCCTCCAGATCTCCTGGTAACACCGGCCTGGACTGTGTGCACAGGCTGGGACAGCAAGGATTCTGGGAAAGCACAAAGTGAGACCTTCGAATTGGCACAACAACACGGTCTCTGAAGCAACGAATCAGCGAGCACAAAAGTTATACGGTGTAAAAACTCTTCTGCTACCCTGCTGCCAAATAACTGTTCACACCTTATCTCTTCTCTTAGCTTCCAAGACTGGGAACCAATGTATCTTCCTTGAGAAGGGGACACTGATAGGAGATTATGTCAGAGTTATTTTAGGTCCGTTCTTTATGAAGACCGCAATCTTCGGGTTGTAAATGAGGATGTTCACATTTGTTTTAATGAGATGCCAAAAGACTACATGTCAAGTTTTGCAAAGTACACCCAATGCTCTACATCTGCTCTTTACATCTGTATTCCTGGAGTACTCCTTCATCAACACCAGCTGTTGTTCCCCAGGTGTTAGTCTGTATTTAAAATCATGTTAAACTGGTCTTCATTAGAACCGTTTAATTCAATTACTTATTATTATTTGTTTTAACCTCTCTCCTGGTCAGCAAACCATTTTTTATGCAATAGCTAGTACATACTGTATATGTGGATTATTTATGATTATTTATGAATAACTTAACCTTTCTAAAAATACCCCTATGGTGTGGTGGCCTTTTGAAGTACTATTTGCATAAGAACTTATTCATCCTGGCAAAATGGTTTGTCTTGCGAGTATTATTATACAAATGATTTCCTAAACGCACTTTTAGACTTTTAAAATGTTGTTAAATCAGGTATTATCGAACGAGTGGAAACTATGTAGCTCATCTTTAATTAGCCCAAATTCAAAAATAATAGTGCTTAATTACTACTGCAGCCATTTTAGCTCCAATTCGTTCACACTTGTGCATTCTTTTTCCCCTATGTCTGAAATAAAATGAGGGTTATATATTTTGATCCACTTGGGTGCTTGTATTAACAGTGTGTTTGGTATGACATGAACGCAGCGTTGCCAGATGATTCTCTTTGTCACAATATATTGTTGATATGCACATTCCATCACCTCCCACAGACCTTCATCCGGAGAGCTGTGAGCTTTGTTCTTAAAGGGAAGCACATAGTTGAAATGGTTTAGCCCATTAACCCCCACAGTGGAGATCAGCCTCCTAGACCTGGAGTCTGCTGCAGAATTCCAATTCTTTTTACACATTTCATTCATGCATTCCACATCTGCCTCAAGTCCCACAAAATAACATGGTGGCAGTGATCCGAAGAGATAAAAGACATTTCCACTTGAAAAAATACCGGGAGCACAAAAAAAGCGTAGGGCTGAGCTCCAGGCTTCACACACATGGAGTATTCTCTGATATTACATTTCCAACAATATGAACATCCTGTACCTGCATACAATCTGTATTATCCCCTATTGCATACGAGGAAGGTATTGCCAGGTATGTTCCTATCTTTTGAGAAAATGTCATGTTCACCTAGCTGCTATAGGAGCTGGTCTGATTGAATCGTTGCTGCCCTATTCTCAAATCCTACCTTATTCACAGACCCCTGAGGCTCTATGTCTGCAATGTAGGTGAGGACAGTAAACATAACCTGCCAATGGGAAAAGCTGAGCCAAATTAAATTAAAATAACATAATAACACGGGGGGCTAAAAGATGATGGGCATGTTGACACTTCATCGCCTCAGAAATAAGTGTTCCTAGTTGATAATTAGTATTGTTTAAGTACTATCACAATGTTGAGTGGACACTGAACACATTTAAAGGGGGCTCTATTATGCTCATTTTCAGATGTCATAATCAGATGTTGTTATTCTAAAAAGTGGTTTAAAGTCCAAAGACTCATGAGGGAAGTCTTAAAACAGGTTTAAATATCCTAATTCTGGGAATTGAAAAGAAAAGTGGTTTAAAGGTCAAAGATGTAACAGTAAAACAGGGGAACATGTGTTGTCTGGGGATGCAACATGGATGAAAGAGAAGGATGAAAGGAATATATAAAAGTTAGAAAACTGTCAAAAGAACTATAATTTCACAGGAAGACTAGGGGAAGAGGAATGTGAGAATTCGGTTCGGGATATTGTCAGATATCTGGAACAAACCAGAAATCATGTTTTATTATCATTGCTTTTGAATGTTTCTAGTGTGCTTTATGCTCTTAATGTCTTTCATTTTTGTTAAGCACTTTGAATTGCCTTGTGTTGAAAAGTGCTATATAAATAAACTTGCCTTGCCTTGCCTCTAAATGCACAACATAAGCATGATATGGCACATTTAAACACATCTTAAATATGTACAGGCAAACGCTGCAAGTCTGTAAGCCAGTGTCCTCAAGATAAGATTATTGTGTTGTACTTGGAAATGGATGTAATTGTGATTCTGTGCAGGCACAAGTTGGCAAGGGAAGGAAGGGAGGAAGATACAATCACGGATGTCAGCCCAATTCTCTCAGGGGCATGAACCTTTAGGAACTCTATCATTAAAGAAAATGAAAAAATGTTACCATGCCTTTCTCCGTCTGGGACTGAGCCATTTTACCAGCCCCCATCCTCCCCATAATCCCTCAAAGTCTCTATTTTGCTTACCAGGATCGTGGTGACTATGTAAGTCCTGTTCTGCAGGCCGTACGTTTCGTTGCTGCCTCTCACAAAGCTGGCAGTAGTCACATACTTCTCATCTTCATTCCAGTAGCCAACCTGAGACAAAGGATGATGTCAAAATGTCAGAGATTGACCAATAGGAGGAAAATAAAAGTTATTCAATATGGCTCCTAATCAAAAATGTACGTAAAAAAGCTTTTAGTATAATTTCTTAAGATATTTGACACACTTAGAACAAACCTTCTAAGACATGAAAGTGTATCTAAATATATTTGAAGGGAAGTAGCATAAATTCATGTCTCTGTTTTCAGCTTAAAGCATAAATAGGATTAATGATATGATCATTATCACCGCCAGACTTAAGCCTAGGGGGATCATCTGTTCTGTTATGTGTGTTATCTGTCTGTCGATCTGTCTAACAGCTATTAAAAAACGAACGGAATTTTGATACAGTCATTTACTGCTGACTCCTCACTGCTTTTAACCAGCCGGTACGGACTGTAAGTGTTAACCAACTGCTACAGTAGAAAAAGGCATTCACAGCAAAAAGGCTAAAAACAACCATTACATGTTGGGCTTTGTTATGTCTAAAAAACTGACAACCACAGAAAACGTTGGTCTCATTTTGAACAGAAGCATCTGCAGATCAATTCCATACCCTATATGTAATGATCTCCTTGAGTAACACCAATAGAATTGAACAAAATCCCTGCTTTTTGTTATCTTTGACGCCATCTTGACTGTAAAGGAGTTGTGGAGGGACAATTGAGTGTGACTGCGTGCACTTTTTTAGTACAAAAAAGGTACAATTTCACTTCAATGTGTATAGGAGTAAGTCCCCTAATAAATGCCTAAATATCTGCCACTAAAGAACTTTTTACTCATAAATTGTCTTTCAGAAAAAGGCTATTGAATACTTCTGTAAGGACCTTAAATGAACCACAGAGTATTCCACTAATACACTTGCAGGTTCTAACAGAGTCCTTGAGCAGCAATAATAATGCTTAATTGACATTTTGCTACAGACTTACCTTCTTTGGTCCAGAGGGGGCCAGTTCCATGACGCTAACAGTGTAGTTGGTTCTGCGGCCTTTCTCATTGAACTGAATGTGACCGGTCAATCCATCTATACGCACCTGCAATACAATTACAAATATTGAATAAGTTACAAACACAGGCTTTCCCGGCAGATGGGTGAATAATGGCTGCCGTGAAGCATGATATTCGTTCCATTCATTTTCTCCTTGTCCACGCAGGCAGCAAGACTTTGCATGTCACGCTTACTGTACACGCGATGCATGTTAAGCATAGCTCTCCTGTGTTTGTATAGTATTCATTTGTGAAAGTCTACAGCTCCCACTCCCAGGGGAAGTGAATGACAGACGGTGTGCGTGTATGTTTACAGTGCAGTGTGTTTGTCTTGGCTGTGTGATGGAGTTAATTGAGCGAACACGGCTTCAATCTCCAGTCCGTCCGCAGGCAGATGGCTAGATTGACACTGAGGAGGCCACCGCGCAGCCACTCTGCAGACTGAGCCTCGGGCTGCACACACGCTTACAGCACACTAACACATATGCCCTCACAAACATGCATTTATTATACATCCATACTTAACGTAAATGGTCTTCTGGAGTACGTAAACAACATACTCCATTGTGTTTTTAATTGGCAACTTCATTCCTGCATAGGCTTTTAAAAAATGCTATTTAAAATATAATAAAATAATAACGGTCCTTGTTCCTCGATATGCATACAATTACATGCATGAGTGTCTCAATGAGACAACACAAAGTCTCAAGGCCAGCCCAACATTTCTATTTCCGTCGCCAAAAATTACATTTCTAAACTCAATTTCTGGTGTCATATTCCATGATGATCACGGCTGAGTGTTATTGCCTGCAGGTTTTGTTTACTAGCCATGATGTCACATTTGATACTGCAGAGCTCTGCTATGACTTAATGTGAACTTTACACGACAGAATGAGACCTAATTTGTTCAGCCAGCCCCAACTCAGGAGCCGTTAGCCAATGTGCCACTCAGGAATTTGCACAAGTGTGTGTGAGTTTATGTCTATGTATGCGCACAGACCTGCTGCAAGGCTCTCTGGATGTCTATGCCCTGTCCCCAGGGAGCTGGCGGGTTGGCAAGACACTCTCCAGCGTTGCCCCGGCGAGAGATGTCTATCCTCTGTCTCCGCAGGTTCTGGAAGGCCGTGGACATGACTTTCACGCCGTCATATGTTAGAGCGCCCGTGTACTGTAAAGAGAGAGCAGGCGAATGAAACGGAAGCATTTATAAAGACTCGCTGAAGAAAATTATTTCACAAATTGAGTTTCCCCAAGCTATGCTTGTACACCAAAGGACTTAATTGCTATTTTTTCCTGTCTTTTTATATTTAAAAAAAACACACACAGACAGTTGGAATCAATCCTCTATCTCAGCTCGTTGGACAGTTGTTATGGTTGAAAATCAATAATCATTTAGCAGCCTTACTCAGACAGGATTATCTGTCCACCAAATGTAATAGAAACACTTTCACAGCTTTTGCAATATACTGCTGAGAGTCACAAACAAACTAACTGACAGGGGAAATAACAAGTAATTGTCCAAGGTAACCATAACTTCACAGAGAAAACGTAATCATTCAGCTCTTAATAAAAGACCATCATGATTTATTTTTCCTTCAACCTGACATCTTGTGCTGCATTACCACTTCTTACACAAAAGCTTCTAAGACAAACAAAGGTAAATAAATCAAGGACAGATAAGAGAGCAGTAGTACTTTGAGTCCACTCTTGCGCATTTTGGAGTCTTTGTTGTCAAACTCCTGCCACTGCTGGACCACACGGCTGATGGTGGGCTCGGAGTTGTTGACCAGCTGGAAGCCCGTGATGTTCGCCCCGCCTTTCCTCAGGTCAGTCAGGTCGATGTCCAGGAAACCCTGAGACAGGAAGTGCACAGGATAGAAGGTTGAATATGAACAAACAGGTGGTAAAAGAGATTAAGGTATATGTTAAGAAAATTAGCTTTTTAGTTGGCAAACACATATTTAGAGGATCTAACTAAAGCAGTGGACATTGAACATTACCAAATATGTCACTAAGTCAGTAGTTCCAAACCTTTTTTAGACCTAAGCTGTCAATTAAGGTCTCCCTTGAAAAAGTAATCTATGACCTCAAGGGACCAATCTGGTTAAATAAAGGTTTGAAATGAAATGATTGCAGCTTCTTGCCGCCGTGTACAAATACCTCACCATTTGTGTGTCAGAAACCTGTTTTATCTTCTTCCTATGTATTCAAAGGCACATTAAGTGTACCTTAAAACCAATGTAAAGCTCAACTAGAAGTATGTGGTGGGTCTGAATTCACTGAAACCAATACAGCCTTATTATTATGCTGTATGCAACAATTCTGGGCATCAACCTCTCTAAAAAACATATTGATCAGGTGTCACAGCGTAAACATGTTTCTAAGACAAAGGTTTGAAAATGGCAGCCACAGTGCTGAAGAAACGGCAAGCGGACAAAGCTTGTCCATAAGAGGAGAATGAGTCTGGGATTGAATTGAGTCGAGGAGGAGGGGCAAGGTTTGAATATTGTGTTTGCAAACCGTTACCGACATTTCCTAATGAACCAATGGAGAACGGATGGGATCTTAGGAAAAAAACATATTTATGCTGCTTTCTTTTTGCAGACCTCACTTTGACATGTTATGTTTTGTGAAACTGTGGTTGACTTTAACCGCACAATCATTTTCAAATTGAAAGAAAATGTGCAATCCTATGGTGATGCTTCATTTCACGAGCAGGAAGAGGTTGAGAACCAGTGGTCTAGGTGCACCTGGCATAAGTGGGTAACTCTGCAGAATGCATAAACATCGTAGTTCGTGATATTCAGTCTACCATCAATGGTTAATGGCATAATGAAAACGGCAAATTATTCTTTTCCACTTAGAGAGGTTATCCAATCGAGTATACCTCCACCCTGTCTTTCCTGAGGGGCAGGAGACAGAAAATAGAGAACCTAATTTCATGGCTGTGTTCAGTCCGGAGCTAATCTTTGAAAGACTGAGTCTTCATATGCTGCTGATGGAAATGGCACAATCAAAAAGCCTTATATGCTATGGGAACAATGTAGGGCAGTGCCGGGGGCAGAGCACGAAGGAGAAAGAAGCGATTTGCTGTAATGGTATCTCCTCCATGTATTTCCCCCCTGACTATTATGTGGAGAAAGCTGTTTTTCAGAGCGGGAGAAAGGCAGCATCGGTCTCTCAGCAGGCTGCCTGTCAGCGTGGGGAGAAGACGAGGCAGGCGAGAGGGAGCGGGTGGGAGGAGAGAACAGAGCAGCGGAGGGGGAGAGAAGATTTGTCGGTGATTTTACAGCAAAGTTTTTGACTGATGAAAGGAGAAGGTGTCTCTCAGGTGTTCCTCCTGCTCACCAGGCTTCTGTCTGACAAAACATAGCTTACCATTGTTTCTTTTTCTACTTTGTTCTCCTTTTCATGTCACTTAGAGCTTCGCCGCTCTCTTGGCCATATGTCTCTCTCAAACTGTAGCTTGTTTACTTTCTCTGATCTTCACATCCACACAAACACATCAAGTCTAAGAGAAGTGGTCGACTGAAGCATAAAGATCATCGTGTTTCATGCCCTTTTGGTTTTTGACATGGTCTCAGGCTACAGGAGACAAACGCAAGCAATGACGAGGGGCAGTCCCATCCCCCCCCCATCTACTCACCAAACCTAATCTACCTGTGTGTTGCCACACGTCGATATTTTCTCAGCTGAGCAGACAGACTAGTGTCTTTTTTCTGCTCCATGTATGAGCTAATGCAGTGTAGCGAGCTGAAGAGGTTACTATAGAAACTAGCTTTTGCCAACACTGGATATTGCGTAGGGGTATTTCTGACAAATATTTTATCAGCATTTTCCTTTCTGTATTGCTCTATCATTCTTGTTTTTTCAGAGAAACGCAGCTGCAGACACAAGGAAGTATATTAGGAAGAATTCCCGAAAAAGTGTAAGGACAAACATTTGAATGGGCCCATTAGAAAAGACTGTGGCCACTTTGCGTATCAGCTGTTATCACCGTCAGAGCCTTATCGCTCAAAATTAAATCTGGCAAACTGGCCAGACAAGAGAGATTGAGCCAATCTAAAATTCCCGCAGTGAGAAATTGTTCAAGACAGCAGCTGCATATTAATGCTGATCATTCTACAGCTTCGGGTGATGTCAATTTTCGCTTCATTTGGTTGCATTTAGTGAGCCTGAGCCGACTGGGTCTACGCACCATTTGCCCTGAGAAAATGGCAGCAGACAAAAAGAGCTAATGGATATAAGCTTGCATACATTCACTGCCTGACCTTTGTCTGTCAGTGTGAGGACGCATAGATTCCTGACTGTCACACCTTTGTGCTTTACGCTAGTCTTCTACTCTGCTGCAGTTATGTCTGCAAGGATTGACGGTCCAATGAAAAGAATATATGAAGTAGCTGAAGGAGGAAAATGGGATAAGAAAAACGACATAAAACCACATCGTTTTAGGCAAAGTTATTGGGCATATGCAAGTATATTAAAGCGGTGATAAAGAACTTTTAAAGGCCACATTTAATAGCAATGCAAGTTTATTCATTGAGGCATGAAAGAAGGTAGACAAGTAAGTGGAACATTTTCAAACATTTAAAAAAGAAATGTGATGATGTACTGATGATTTCTTACCAGGTTAGCCAGGATGTAGTGGTAGCTCTTTGCATTCTTGCCTTGTTCGACGATCTGAAAGGCAAGGTCAGAGGAGACACAGACAATAAAATGCCTGTCACACACAAAAAAAAACCCACTGTTGGTATGTGTGTATAACTAAGAGAGAGGGGCTTTGACAGTGTCTCAAAAGAATACCTGTTTGAGTGCAGTCTTTAACTTTGTCAAGGACGGACAGAAAGTATAAGTTCACAATACATCATGGAAAAGAGACTAAAGCGCTTCACCTTGGAAAGAATAAAAGGTGAGCAATTTATTAAAGATCAGCTTCAATCTATGAGTCAAAAAGTTCACACAACATACTCCATATAATAAAAGTCATAGAGGTAGCTTCTGAAGTTTGTTATATAAAACAACAATGAAACAAAAGTAATGCCCTTTCCTCTCCTCCTTCCTGTCAACTCTTCTCTTAATTCTTCCATTCCTCTTTTCCTTCTCCCCTACTCTTTTTTATTTCCTGCTTTTTTCTCTTTCCCTCTCCCCTCTTCTCGTCTCTCCCCTCCCCTCCCCTCATTTCCTTTTTCTCCTTTTTAGTTTGACTCCTTTCTCTCCCCCCATTCCCTTCTCTTTTATGGTCCCTTGTCTCCTCCTCTCTGCTCTTAATTCCCCCCTCGTTCCTCTCTTCAGTAACTATACAAATGAAGGTAATACAATAATAACACTTTGTAGATTGATCCATAAGGACAAACTCTGTATTGCTCCCACTATAGCAGCGCATTAGACTCCTTCTGTTCTTACCTTTCACAATAAAAGCCCTAGACATACACTCCATCGTTCCTTAGCAAAAAGCATCCAGCTAAGAGGCTACTCGACAAATAGCTTACTGTAGAAATCCCCAGGTAGCAGAACAACTTGAGACATGTTAACGGTGGAAACATTACCAGGCAAATGGGAGGCAAAGAAGAGGAAGCCATTTTGCCATTTAAAATATTACAGTATTATGTGTGATCACAAATAAAGGCGATTTGCACAGCAAAACAAAACTGCGCTGACAATTTGAAAAGCAAGAAAATACAGTTCAAATGACTGAGTTTAAAGCAATGAATAAATTCATGAATATTCAACCCGTTAATGAATGTAAAGTGCACATTACACTTCACATCCTCTAGGGCTATACGTGACATAGTAGTATGATGTATAATGCTCTATTATGTACCATATTAGCTTCCCTCCTCCTCCATCTGTTTTGAATATTTCCCCCTGAATGCTCTCATTTCATCTTGGATCTAATATCTAAATAACGTACAATATGCAAGTGTCCTGGAACTCCACCATACAATAATACCTATAAATGTTTAAGTCTGTCATTGCTGAACTGTGCCTACGTCTCTCCTCTGCCCATGCTGCTGTCATTCTCTGACTGCAGGCGTCACAGGTCAGCTCTGGAGGTCAGGGCACTTTGAAGATCACAGTGATAGGTGTGTACTTTAGTAAGATTTGGGTGGGATTGCTAACTTTGCTCTTAACTTTAATAGTTTCCAGGCCCGCTTCCACACATTGTGGATTTGTATAGACTATTAGACTATGGACTTATGGATTTATAGTACACAAAATGGGTACAAACATGTGGCGTAAGATTTGAAGAAAAGAAATCTGCTGGTGCAACTGTGTAGCTGGCCTGTGCCTAAATAAAGAGCTGGCTGTACTGTGAGACACATGCCGGTGTGTGTGTATGTGTCATCACAGCATACAGGGCAGCCACAGGAAACAAGGCAGAGTGAGCAGCACTTATTCAAAGCCACGCACCATCCAACTAATAGCCTTGGGACAGTGGATAAGGAGCTCATTCCACCGTCTCTGTTCAGGCATCATGCTTGACCTCACACATTTTTCACTCCTCTCCTTCTCTGTGAGCATTTTCCCCTCGCCTACACTTGGGGGAAGTGTACTGATTTGTTTGTGTGTTATGTGTGTGTCTAATGATGCTGTAGGTCACGACAGAAGGTGGCATTTGTTATTAATGGTGACCCCAGCACAAGGTGGGCCCTGCGGACGAGCCCCGGGCAAGGAAATAAAACTGAAGGGAAGGGGAAGAGACACACACCCGCGGTGACACCAATACACTCGACACCTGGGGGAGAACACACATTACTGCCACAGTGGACCGCCAAACTGAAATGTTTTGGAAGGAAGGAGCTTTTTAATTATCCATGCAGATTTGAAGAGTCATTTAGAGTTCAGCCCCAAGAGAATGGGTCAATTTTCTTTTTCTCTGTGTTGGAAAACACACTCTAAACGTTTTTGAGGTAGCTCTTCTGTCACGATGAATGTTCTCTAAGGAGGCTACATCAACATTCAGTTTATGTGAGGGGCCGCCCTGAGGGAAACTGTCAGTGACATTATCGTAGGAGAATCTGTGTACTGTATGAGATGAATGAGATGAACACAGATGGGAGTATAAAGGGCAGCACAAGAGGCAGAGGTGCTGTGTGTGTGTTCCTCAATATAAGGATGCACAGGCAGGGCAGTGTGGAGGCAGAGAGCAGATGTGGGTGATTGATGGTGGACGTCTGAATGGAGAGCTTCTCAGGCTCAGCACCTGTAAACTGGTGAGAACTGATGCAATAACCTTAACTGTAGACACCGGGCCATCAATAACATTCACACACAGCCTACACATACTGTACAGATGGGGACTGTGTGTGTGTTTGTGTGTGTGCTATGAGCATCATTAAAGAGTATGTGTTTGTGTTTCTTTACTTGTGAAAAACAATGTAGTGAAACGGAAGAAAAATCTCACTGATCAGTCGTATATTATACAAGTGACACCAATACAAATATGACAAATGTGAAGATATTTCTGGGGATACAATTGCCTGTATGCACACAGCAGCAGACATTTTGACCTGTTTCTTGATAATTGATTGTCCTAGTAAGCAAAGGCAGTGAGCCAACATGCAAAAGAGGCCTGAAACAAGCACCAAAATGTATGCTTTATTAATTACATCTGTGAGTTTCCAGCCATAGCATGCCAGGAAAAGATCTATAATCCCAATAGAACATTTACGCTGAATATTTCTGAAACAACTGATTTCAGATAGAAGGAGGGTAAATACAGGTTTCCCATATAGCTGGAAAGTCAAGTGTCCCCAGCAGTTTACATTTTTTGAGCTAGCTAGCTTATTAAGGTGTAAGGTTGACTTTTAATACTTCAGTTGACTCGTTCCAACGACTGCACCTAAGAGAGGTTGGTTAGCTGGTTGACTACATGCAAGATATTGTGTATAAAGACTAAGGCTAAAGCTACGTAGCCTATCTCTGGCAAAAACAGTCAGCCTCACCATATGAAAACTGTTATTTTGTTGTGCCCCATTTGGCTTTGTAGCTAGCATATTTGTTGTATTTTCAAACAACAGGTTCTAATTTCACGTGAACAATATTATTTTAGGTTGACGACTTCAGTACAGTTACTGTATGCTAACTACTATATATGTATATGTAAGTCTGGGTGGGATTGCTAACTTTGCTCTTAACTTTAATAGTTTCCAGGCCCGCTTCCACACATTGTGGATTTGTATAGACTATTAGACTATGGAGTTATGGATTTGCCTTCTAAGAAAACATGATTACGAAGGTAGTATCGTGGGAACTAAGCTGGTTGCCAGACATGCTAACGATTTCAGCACACATCAGAGCAGACAGACATTGTTTAATCAATTCATAAATGATAACTTTTGGTTTTGGAAAGGCTACAAAAATACAATGTCATCCCAAATATTTACATGCTGATTATTATTGTTATGAGAGCTACATTGCTTCAATGTGTAGGATCATCTAAAGCCTGACACACCTGCTATGCACAGTTACGGTTGCTAAACTGTGATTGGGTAATCTCTGATTGAGGGCGAGGTTTAGCGAATAGTCAGTTGTGATGCCAAGATCCATTTCCTTTCAGTTCAGTTCAGAGTTGAGTAAGTGATGATCCTATCACAGAGGAACTGCCGACTCTAAAGGCCAAAGCTATGTTATTTATGTATCCTGTCCTTGAAGCTCCAGGAGACTAAACACCACGGCAGACCACCAACCGAACCCCACTTTCCATTTATATACCCTTCTTTCCCTTTCTGCCTCCCTCCTTTGTTCATCTGATTGAAACATGCAACCCTCTGAAGTGTATATTTTAAATGTGCATAAAAAGTTGTTGCCATTCAACATTCAAGGTCATTACTCAATTTATAAGAAGCTTGATATGTGTGCAAAAACGAAAATTCACGGACAGTTTAAAATGTCTAGTTGTGTCTAATGCTTGCATGCAGTATGATTTTATTATTTTATGAGGTTGCAGCATTTCAGCTAGAATTGCATTACGTATTGGATACAATTACATAATCCGCTCTGATTGCAAAACAGAAAAAAGCTTTTTACCTCTTTGAGGATGCCAGTGAGCCTCTCGGTTTCACAATCGATGATAATCTGGCCCTCCTTCCTCTTGTCCAAATCCTGGAAAACTTTCAAAAAGGAGGCCTCTGTCATGGTCTCCACATTGACCGAGGTCACAAGCCAGTTCCTCTCCGCTGCTGTGTCCAGAACCTTCTGCAGCACAGACAGTCCTATAAGAAGAGGAGAGAAAGCTGAATTGTGAGTGCTTTATTAGCAAAAGTTCTGCAAATAACGGCTGAAAAGTGATGAATGAATAGTTTGTATTCTACCGAGAGGGATCCATAAGTATCATCAATTATGTGCAGGTTAATCTTATACAGTGTGCAGATTGCATTATGAGTTGAATGATGAATTAAAAAAATGTTGGAACAAAACAGGAGTTGTGAAGAACTGCTTCCAATAAGCGTATCCATCAGAACCTCCCCTGTAGCCTCGGTGATAAAGTATAACGAGCGGGACAGTCCATTAAGCACGCTGACACGTGCAGGTGTGATTTTCCAGTTCTTACAGTGCCCGGCTTAATAATCACCCTTTTCACACTAACCAATAATCAGCCCGTGCATCATTGCAGAAAACACACTCACAGCCATCTTCACATCCTCCAAGCACCAATTACAGGTGGTGTTACTCAGTAATGCCGTTGCGGAGACACTCTAACATCATAGAGGCTGATGTAGAGCAGCCAATGAGCTATAGGCTTATGTTAAGACAGGAAATAAAAGGCGATTAGGGAACACATTGATCTTGAGCTCTGATTTACAATCTGACTCAGTGTTGTACTCCTTTGCTGCTGGCGGTGGACCAATCAGATTCCTCTCAAGCTGGCAGCGGAAGTGTTTCCACAGAGTAAATAAAGTAATGCCACCCGCAGCAGACTGGCACACGTTACCCAAATGAATTACAGCAATTACAAAAACTAACACATGATGTAGCTGAATTTGTTTTTCCACCACTAATCTGGCAAATGCTGTAAAAGCCATCGTGGGCCTACACAAAATGTGTTTTGTACATCCTCCATGCTTGTTTGTTCATGTTCATACAGGCAGTTCATACAGGCATTTGATGCACATTGAGTAAATGTAAATATGGCTTATCCACAGTGACACAGAGCCTGTCAAAAGAAGAATGAGACAGGCAGTCAGCTCCTGAAAGATGATTGCCTGGCCTTATTAAAATGCACACCAGCTGCTCTCCAGGCAATTCGTGCTGCCTATTTGACACCAGGTCATTAAGAGATATAAAAAATGGGAGTTGTTTCACCTCCACATATGACAGCTATACGGTACATGTAAATACATTAGACAACCGCAAAGAATGATGTATAAAAATGGGAATAGAGACGAATAGCCCCTTTCATGGTGTCTATCCAATCACTGCTGCATAAGAGTGAATAATTGTAGACCTTGGAGCTGACTGATTCAGTAGGAGCTGTGCAACTGATGACAGGCATGGGAAGACAGGGGGCAGTTTAACATGGCCCTGAATAAGGCCAGTGTGTCCTGAGGAGAATAGACAACTGTCTTCAAATGGAGCGTGAGTATAGGCTTCAGGACCATGGACAGCACCTTGCTGTAAAATCGGAGCCAACAGTTTGGAAAGAAAACTATTTGCCACAAAGCAATTCACTTCCTTATCTCTTCTCACTTTTGTAATTATCTTGCTTCTTTCCTAAAGTCTTTGTGTGGGTATTTATTTGTTAATCTGCATTATGTACATAATGTTCCGGCCTGTGAGCAAGACAATCTCAAATTAATTCTTGAATCTCATTAATGCTTCCAGCTAAAAATGTTCAGCACAATGTTATCAGTGTGGCTGGACTATTACATTTCTTATCTTTGCTTATCTTGCATCTATTCTCCATGCCTTGCTTGCATTTTCACAGTTTCAGTCTCACTGTGTTTGCATTGAATAATCCTCTTTTCCAATGTATCTATCTGCAGATGCCCTCCTATGAATCAGAGGCAACCTGACAGTGTGGCTCGTGAGACTGGCCCAGGTAGAAAGGGTCCTCTGAAGGAATCCTGGAAGGAAATAATATAATGGAATCTGCCTGTCACAAGAACCCTTTCTGGCCGGAGGCAATACACAGAGACCTGGGCACGAGGCAAATGAAAGTAGATAACATAACACTTTCAGGAAACCATTTCCTGAATATTGTTTATGGTATGTTTAATGGGATATCAAATTTGTTTTCCTGTTCTTGGCTTTTGAAAATAAAAATAAGGAGAACTTTTATTAGCGGATGCTGAGCGGTAAGATAGCAGGAAATATTAAACATTGGCAAGTATTAGGAAAGTGACCCTGCATATGGGATATTTATAGAACATATCTAATAAAACTGTATTAGACCAGATACTAGAAAGGGCTGGACATTTTATACTACAATAGTTAGAAAATATTTGGAAGAAGCAGAAACATACATACTGTATATAACAGACAAACATGATTTTTCTTAACGGCTTAAAATAACCCTGTATGAAGGGTGACTACAGCGTAGTATCCAGGCAACAGAGGACTACTGATATGGATTCCATTGGCTCCATCCCACCACTCAATCACACAGGGGTGACCCTTCACACACACACACATACACACATGCTACCAAACAGTAAGTGAGTGGGTAATGAAGGGATCACAGAAGATAAAAGAAATCGGCGGGACATGTGTTATGCTCCGGCCGTCATGAATCAATAGGACGAGACCACTGTGAAATCTCCCCTGTCACTGCTTGATCTCTGCAGAGTGACACGATGGATTCTGTCTTTTAAAGCTGACGAAAGCCTGCTTATGTCTCCCAAGTCAAAATCGTGGGAGTGGATAAAAGTTGAGCAAAGTGTTCAGACAGCAGAATGCTTTAGGGTGCACAAAACACCTTTCACAGTCATGCTCTGAAACCCACAACACCTGGGACAGATGGCAAGGCATTATGGGAAGGGTATGGCTGATTGGCTCGAGAGGGGAAGGCGAGGAGGAGGCTGACATGTGTGCTGGTTTATTTCTGAGAAGGATTGTACGCTACAGCACTTTTTTGTGACCGTAGCAACAGAGCCGAGGACTTCTCCACGAGGAGCTCAGTCTTTTGTTCCATTGTGTGATTTATCTGCCAGTCAGTGCGGGTCAATGTTTCTTTTCTGTGTTCTCCGCCTGCACAGAGATGGTGGTCTGAATTACATGTTCTGATGGCCGCTCATTGCTGCACAATGGCTACGATTGACCCCATTGCTGTCGCCATGGCAATATGAAGACGGCTAATGGTGGATGGTATAATGACCGGTTTCGCCTGTGACCGTGTTCTTGTGCGTGTGCTTGGAATTACTTTCAAAGGACGACATGCCGGAAGGAAAACTGTCGATATTCAGACATGATTGAGGATCATCGTACAATTGAAAACCTTCATATGAAATATTTGACAGTACAAGTTGCCCACATCAGGGTCATTTCCTTTTCATATTGTTCTTTTGTTATGGTTTCAAAAACTGATGTCAATCCTGCCCTTGGAGCGGCTGTCACACATGCTGCGAGGAACTCTGGATGAGTTAGTTAGAAACTGGTCCCCAATTACACCGTACATGAAGGAAGAATGGTCAAGTGTTATAATTGTGGGAGTAAATATAACATGATAAGTGCGCACACATGAGTACTAGGTTGCTACTGTTGCTGTTTGCCTGTTTTTGTCATTGATAGTTGTTATTGTTTTGTGGGTTTTATTATGTGTTGTTGTGTTGTCCCTAATGTTTTTTGTATTGTCTCACCTGAAAATCCCAAAAACATAAAGGTTTCTATTAAAATGTCTCGTTTAAAATTAAAATAAAATGATTTCCTACCTGAGTCTGAACTGTACATGTAGACAAACTTGTTCCACCCGTAGTGGTCGATCACTCCCACCAGAGCGTCCTGGAGCTCGGGTCTCAGCTGGATGACAAACTGGTTGGCCGTCTCGATGGGGAAGGACGGCGTGACGAAGCAGACGTGCAGCGCTCCGCAGAAGGACATGAGCATGTTGACCGTCTTCCTGTCATACAGGCCGATGATGGCGTACACACCTTTGGAGAACTGGGAGCAAACTGCCGGAGAAAAGAAAATACAGGGGGAAGTTAGTCTCTGGAGAGGACTATGAAATATAAGTATCAACTCCTGTTCAACACAATTGAATAAATACTATTGCTACTTTAGTACACAACAAATGTTATAATAATCTAAGTATTCATACAGAGCTTCATACAGCTGATTTAAATGCATGTAATATATATTCTATGTTGGCTTTTAATGATTATACTTATAACTAAAAGGGGACTTTCAGGGTGCTAACCTCTGCCAAGTCAATGCTCTATTGTTGAAAGTGAAGAATAATCAGTGCAGTTGACCCATGTTTTGCATACGCTCCAAAATGTAAGAGGTGGTGCTTCATGAAGCCAAGTTTCAAGAAATTCTCGCCATTATTTTTTTTGTTTTTCAGAAAGCTGCTGACAAACAAACAGACACATAAACCAATCTGAAAAGATCATTTAAGGAGTTAATTATGCTCTAAAGATTGCCTCTTGTGGGAGAGACAAAAGCACATTGGATTAAAGGTAGGGTAGGTAAGAATGGAGAAACCAGCTCAAGTAAACTAGAATTTTAAAGTACACAACCGAAAAAAATCTGCCCCTTCCTTCAGACTTCCTTACAGAGCTCCTCCTCCAACACACACGCACGCGCACATGACCAATGAAGGTACGAGATAAGTTTGTGCAAGAGATGGAATGCTGACAGGCAGGTAGGCCATCCAGTTATCTGGCGCGGGCCGAGGCAGATAATTGGACTTGCTTTTTACAGCGCTACGGCTTCCACAGATGAAATATTTGTATATATTTATTGTCAAAGCATTTAATATATTCATTGCTATCGGGATGTTAAGAGCATTCCATGGAATATAACAAAAAGTGTTTCTGAAGTGAATTACCTACCCTACCTTTAAGGCTGTATTGATTCGTCTAATAATCTGTTAGATGGTCGATTCCGGCGTTTTCCGAGTTGAAGATGTTCTGCTTTTTATGGTATTGAATTACAGTCAGTGCAAACATTTTTAAGTTTGGGACTTTTAATCAAACATAAAAGCTTTTTGAAGTCATCCCCTTCGCCTCTTGTAAGTAATATTTTACTTTTTTAATCGTTTTTAGACCAAACGACTCTGCAATCGTTTTCATCGTGCTTTTGTTTCATTGTCTTCTATCCTAAATCTAAGAGAATAAGCTGTCTCTGATGTTAAAAGGGAAAATACATCTAAAAAAGGGAGACTAAAATGAGGAACTGTCATTGGTCAGACTTTGTTAACTCTTTCAATTAAAACATGGGTTAGGGTTAGTCATCCCAAAGTGCTTTTGAATTTTCAGTTCAAAAATAGCTCTGGTAGCCTTGCCTCTTTTAAACCAGGCCTGTTTATGCCGATCTGGCCCTATTGTCCATCTGTTGAGCACCAGTCTGTGTGTTTGCCTTCAGTGATTGGAGCAGAGGCTGCAGGCAGATTAGGAGTAGAGAGGTTAATCAATGCATCCCCAGGGTTCCATTGACATTTCACTGGCAGCAGGAGGAGGTTTGCATCTCTCATTTGCTTTTCTTCCCATTTCCCTTTCTCTCATTGTCTGTTTGTCACTCTGCCTTCCTTCCCACCCCCAAATATCTCAAAATAGCTAATTTATGTACACAGTTTTCTCTTCAGAAGGTATGCCCTCTCCACACTTTCTACAGAGCGGGCTATCTTTGCCCTTGCAGGTCTGGCGTGAGTTATTTTCTGCCACGGCAATGGGTGGGCCTTACTTATCTCAGTATTTACCGAACAGATTGAAGCTGCTGCCTGTCCCTGCGCGAGGGCCAGCTCACTGCTAAGAGCCGAGGGAAAGACAGAGAGAAGGATGGCCCTCACCCAAAACGCCTAACCCGTCACAGACCTGCACCCGGCGGGCAGGCACATGTGTGTGTCTGTTTGTGTGTGTGTGACGGAGATAGAGGGAGAGGGAGCGGTATCACATAAAAATACATGTGCATACAAGCATGCGCACACACACACACACATGCAGTCTCTAGTGCTCCAAAAGCCTGGTGACTCACCCTACTTAAAGCAAGCCCTGAAAATAGACATTTTCGAGCCTCGCCACACTGACTCAGTAACAGAACTATCTTTCCTTCATGGTCTGCACACGCTGTTGCTATTAAATCGACACACTCTCAGCTATTGCTTTCCACTAGCACACGTTTTATTTCCCCTTACAATTTTCTAGGACCAGTTCTGGGCGCTGGCCTCCATGTTCTGCCTGGATGAAAGGTAATGAGAGCTTGTTTGACTTTTTGTGCAGTGTCCCATTACTCTGCCTTGCAGCAGGTTACCATGTCTCACTGAACATGAGTCATTTCTCATACCTACAGTATGTGTATCCGACAAAAAAAGCAAAAAAAGAAACACGCAGCCATGTGGCACGGACCTCCTGCTCCGAGCTGGCAAGAGAACCATGTGCACGTCTAATTCGACAAGAGCATGACACAGAATATTAGTGTAACTCAGCGGTCTCGGGTCTAGTTCTGATGGCAGTGCAGAGGAGGAGTGTGTTGGTGTGCGAGGGGCTTGTTAGCGCTGCTCCACATGTGTAACGACGTAGGAGGATGGCCTAGGAGACCCTTGGTGATCCCGAAGACCCCGGTAACACCTGTCCACCCTGGCACTCCGCGTCCCCTTCGCCACAGTTACAGCTGCCATGGCGGCAGAACTGAGGTTGCCTGGGCAACGGTCTGTTTCCCTGGCAGGGATAACAGTAGCTCAGAGCTGCTAAAGGACTTTCGGAAGATGAAGTGAGAAATGTGAGTGTTTGGACATTTTGTCATAATTAGGTTGCCCCTCGAGGATTTAGCAAATTTGAAAACTGACATTGCTTTGCAAAATCCTCAGATAATTTCTTAAATAATGGAAGATTTGGGGCACATTTCCACGCCGTCACATTTGAATTTGAACTCAAAACAAACATCATTATTTCCAACAGTCAACAAAACTCTTTAGCATACAGATGATGAAAGAAGTGTCTTTTAAAGGTCACCTATTATGCAAAATCCACTTTTTCATGTCTTTTATACATAAACATGTGTCCCCTCTGTGTAAAGAGATTCTGAAAGTTTCAGGAAAAAAGATTCTCTTTTTTTGTCCTGATCCATTTATATAAAAACCTGTCTGAAAATGAGCTGATCAGATTTTGGCCACTTTATGATGTCATAACGATGTTTTGTCTTGTGTAACCATTAGCCAATAACCAACCAAGGTACCCCCCCCCCCCCACCTTATCACCTGAATCTCCTCCTAGAGCACCATTGTGTTCTTTTTAACCAAATATCTCTCAGAGGGGCGTGGGGAGGGGCTCCTTATTTTCATCTGAAGTAACAGACAGAGAATCAGCACTTTTGAAACAGGGCTGAAACAGAGGGGATTATGGGATGCTGCAATGATCTGTTTGGTGTTTCAGCCAAACCCTTCAGAGACATGTTTTGTATATATCTGAGACCTATTATATATTGATGCAAAACAGTATAATAGGGGACCTTTAAACGTCACATTTTCACCCTGTTTAAATTTTTCCTATGAGTTGATTTGAGCATTTGGACTAGTCAAATAGTTTTGGACCGCAGGGAAAAAGCCCAAATCCTAAAGGGACACTTACTCGCACAACAGGAGGAGCTGTCAGAAACAACTCACGCGGCTACTGTTTTCCCTGTTCGCTGTTTCCTGCGCCCCGCAGCTGTTCCTCTGCTTAGCATGAGCCAAATATCGAATGACAGACGTGTCTGTGCCGGCTGCACAAAGAGGGCGTGTTAATGACAGTTGTTCCTGCATCTGAAGTTGTGGATGGAGGGAAGGGGGGCGAAGCTAATACTGCATCCTTCATTCTCTATCTGGGCAAAAGATCACCTGATACCACTGAACCATTACTGGCTCACTCTTTAAGGGACTTTGATTTTATGACAACATTAATAATGAATCTGTAAAAAATGTATTTGTTGTTTTTAACAATGATGGAATCTAAAAACGTTTAAACAAGCACACACAGATGTCTTGAGTTGTTGACAGTGCAATTATCCTGATTTAAAATTGGAATGGGCACCTTAACTATGTAAAACCAGGTTTATTTTTAATGGAAAAATAATCAGTAAAATGTTTCAAGGTGCCCTTGTGTGCATGGTACCTGCCTCCCAGCTGCTCCACCAGAGCTTCACACACTAACCTGTGCCTGTGGTATTAGAGCAGCTCCTTTGGGTGGATGTGTGTGATTATTTTTAAATAGCTCTGCATTGCTTTCTATGTCACAAAAAATCAATACTGTCGAATTGAAATGTACCGGGTGGACGCAAAACAATTTCTCAAATGTATTTTTGGGGGAAGCAACAACCAGAATCAATATGAGGAAAGCATGTTGGCTCAGTAAGCACATGTGACCCGGACTCATGGGTTTACTGTGACCGCATGCAAACCACCAATTCCAATAAGGATGTGATATACATCATACGCCTCCACAAACACACACAGAAGCAACACAAGGCTTCTACTATGTTCTTCCCATGGGAATTGCATGCTATTATCCTGTGCAACATTAAGGTCAGTGGTACAGAAGGAATTTCAAAGCAGCAGGAAGATGGGTTCAGCTGGAGAGAATGCACTGATTGGAGGGTTCATGTTCAACCATGTAGACAAGGCAAGGCAATCTATTTGTATAGCACAATTCATACAGTGATGCAATTCAAAGTGCTTTACAGCAGCGGTTCTCAAACTGTGGTCCGCGCAGGTGGTCCGTGGAAAAAAGCTAAATATAATCCACTTTTTATTATCAAGGATTTTCGGGGACCCGCTCATATGTGACCTGCTCTATCGAAATCAGTCGCATTGACCCGGAGACACATTTTGAGTTGTATACACTGTTGGAAAGAGGAGATTCCTAGCTTTCTAATGATATCAGGATTGTTTTTGTACTCCAAATATTAAAGGTGGGGTAGGTAAGTTTGAGAAACCGGCTCGAGATACACTTTTTGTTATATTCCATGGAATGCTCTT